AGCGGGGGCTGCACAGCCCTGCCGCTGCCCGGAGGAGCGTGAAGCCAAGCCGACCGCTTCAGTGGGGTCAGACGGGCAAACGACCTTAAAAATGCAAACGAGCGAGCTCAAATGCTAACACTGGTAAGGCACCAAGCCCCGCAAAGGAGCGGTAACCCTCACGGGAAAAGATTTCGGGTGATGTAAAAATCTCAGAGACAGCTTCGCGCGTGAACGAAGGGTATACGAACGCTCATTACCAGGTTTCAGTCTGTTTGCTCTTGCAGATAGTCATTTGATGTAGTTAATCCTCTTCAGCTGACAAGATCAAAAACAACTTGCAAAAGAAAACGCTCATGACTACTGCACACCCCATCAGCAAATTTGGGGCGATGTCAGAGCGATCTTTACTGTAAACGCACATCTCCTAGCGCAGTAATGCAAGGCTCCACAAAAGAAGAAATCAGAAACCCAAATGACAACTGCAACTTTTTGTTCTTCATGGTGGAAAACAAATCAAGTGACTGGCAAACAAATTATTGTTTGTACAGCAGCTCCTGCTGACACGAACTATACCCCTTCACGTACTAGTAGTAATATTTGGGTTTTGCCCCAAAGAAGGCTGAGCAGGAAAATAATTCTTTTCATCTGCTTTGCTCCTTTCCTCAATTTCAGACACTGAACTTAGTGAAGAGAGCAGGTTCCCTGGCCGGATCCCAGATACAATCTCAAAACAATCTCAAACACCCAGAAATCTCATGAGATGGACACAATGAATTTAGCCACTACATTACCAGTATGTGTAAAATGGGTGTAATGTTTAGAAGGTTAAAACTACTCCAAGGTTCAATTGCTTACAGAGAGAAATATTGAATATAAATAAGTACATTATTTGTATAAATACTTCTTTTCAAACGGCTAAAGTTAGAGATGCCAGATGGAGATCCACTGCAATGCTCTAGAAACGCGGTAACATTTTCCTGTACATGCTGTATTAAAATGGTAAACATGACTGAATCAATGACTCAGATTACTTGAAACACTTCTAGGAAGGGTCACAATTATGTTTTGTCTGAATATCACTGAATATATTATCTGTGGTTAAATATATTTGTTACAACTAAACCATTAACTTTGATCTTGCATTAAAGCAAATTTAACAGCATTCATATCATTATCTGGTATTTAGCACTCCACCTCCAGTTAGACTATAGAGAGCACATGTGAGAAAATGCTACTGTACTAAATCTCTTGCTGCTTCCATTAGGCACCATTCTCCTCCTCTTATCTAATGTATTTCTAGTTCCACATTACTTCAAGACTTTCCACCGTGGGACAGATGCAGAGGAAACTAACAGTGGCTTTGCTGTGTTGAACAGTTTTGCCTCTTCAATTCTACAGAGTTGAACGTCATAGGAATCCCCATTAGTCACACTTATACCAAAGTTCAAGTAATTAAAATCATTAACAATAATGTGTAAAACTGTATAACAGTATAAACTAATCTGCTCTACGGCATTTACAACAGTACGTTAGTAAACTCATTTGTTAGGCTGGTAACTCTACAACTTTAAAAAAGCATGAACAATAGATCAGGCCACAGTTGATCATATGGCACACCTAAAGGTGCATTTGTGCAGGCACAGCTGTGTATGCATGCAGATGCTGTTTCACAGCACAGCAAATCAGCCTTTAAGAGATCTCCCACCCCCACAGGGCACATTACTAACAGCACACAAGCCAGCTAGTTGAATACTAACTTGTGCATTTTTATACCTGTACACTGGACTTGCAGCAAATTTTGGACATATACACAAAACATATATGGATATTGTGGGAACCAGAGGCATTTTCTATATACAGTAAAAACAAGTATTCAGGGGCAACGAGCAGCAGTATATACTGACTGTATGGAAAATCTGCATTCATAAGCAGGCATGAATCAGCCTGAAAGCTCACTGAGTCAGATGGATCATGTACTGACACAGCTACAACTAAGCAATTACACATCCCTTTTCCTGCCTGTCTTAAGGGAAAATTCAGCTTTCAGCCAGTTAGTACGTGCAGATTTATGTTAAAGAGAGTGGAACCAATAATTAGCAAATATTTTTCATATTACAGAGTCAAATACACTATTAAAATGAAATCTAACGGTACAAAATACTTCAGAGTATCTTCTGTTTCCAAGGTGCTAAATGTGGAGTTTTTTCTTTCCCAAAAAACGTTTTTAATGAACTCTAGAAACTACCACAGATTACCAACTTTGCTACTTTTTTTCTGCTTTTGGCCTTCTTTGCAAAAGCTGTAGAATAATTCTCTCTCTTTGAAAAATGCACACAAGACACAAAGATTGTGCTCAACAGGTTTACTCAGACTGGACTCTTAAATGCTCAAGAAAAAGGCACAGATTAAAAGAGACTGATGACTCTTTTGAACACAGCAAATGGGATTTTGTTTATAAGAAAAAAAATACTATGATTTGTATGGGCTGAAAAATTCAAATATTCTTCCCTGTTCCTAATTATTGGCCTTCATTAAAATGGAATTTAAATTAAATTGTATAAACATATGAAATAAAGTCTCAGTATTAGGAAGTTTTTCTTTTGTTTCCTCTATGTACAAATCTTAGTATACAATTTTTACTTTTCATTATACATTTACTACATACTCTTTTCCAAATTGTGTGAGAGCAACTGCAAAATACGTGTTTCAAGAAAATGCTTTGCATTCGGAAAGAATCCACCTGCTTTCTTGGCCGGCAGTGCCAATCATAATTTAGGAAGAGATAACAGGTCAGGGAGGGTATCCACTCAAATGTAATCATCCTCTACTGGTTCACCGTTGACATCACAGTAATGGATGAAGATAGCCACCACACGTTGGAATACACCTTTTTTCATCTGGCGCAGTTCAGAGATCTCTTCTCCAATTGTTTCCATACAGATGTCTGCAGACAATTGTCCTTTCCTTCGCGGTGCATAAATAGTAGCTGTGGAAGGCACATAAGAATAAAAACTAGAATCTTTCCTATAAAGAAATTCACAAGCAAATCCGTTTTGCGTTAAATGAGATAGTCTTGGAAAACAAAGCAAACTGAAAGATCTTCCATTGAGCAACCACATCTAAGGAATATTATTCAAGCAGAAAAGGTATTCTGCCTTCCCCATATTTAAACCTTTCAATAGCTCCAATACTTATTTAATGTATGCAAAGTCCGTATGTCTGTGAGCAGAGGGAATCCCAGTGCATAACAAAGCCTTCCCCCTGAGACTTATCTGACATACTTTCAGGTTATCCATTTCAAGATCACTTCAATGTTTTATAAACAAGAGCAATTAAGGATAAAACAGCAGTCTCTTCTTTGTTTTTTTATGGCTTTAACATCATGTTTAATCTAATTACTCTTTTAAATCAAATACATATAATTTTTTTATAATTCAGACTACATACTGAACTACAAGCATTAAGTCTATGAATCAGTTTTAAATAAAATAAAAATAAAATTTAAAAAAGTCAGAGAAAGGTATAGCCAAAAAAGATTTCTTCCTCATCCTCTTGAGCTTCATCCCCTTGAACTGGAGCTAGATAAGAATATCCAAAACAATATCAACTAAAAATACCTCTAATGAAGGAGATTCCAAGATTTTCCTAATTAAGCAGTGGAAGAACATATTTTTCCCTGCTACCAAACCAAGGTTCTAAATTAAGCCCTAGGAATTGCCCACTATAATATTTTATAAGACAAGCTCCTAAGTAGAAAGAGGCACATCTATCCTAAACTCTAACCCACATCATCTCTGTTCCAGAGTTTTCAAGTCCAGTTCTTTCCCCTTTTCTCCCAAGTTTCTGCGAACCTCAATTCTCTTTGCTGGACTTTCTTCAGCGTACCTTAACAACCTTTCATAAAGCAAAGCCAGAGGCAGTAGTCCAGCTGAACTTTCAGCAGTAATGCCAGTAAACACAGAACGTGTATTGCTGGGACTACAGATCACAACACTGGTTTGGTGTGTGTTTTAAATGCACTTATTCTTCTGGATATGACAAACCCATCACATTTTTAGGCTAAGCACCAGACTGGCTCTCTGATTTTGTCAGTATTAGGGGTCTCCAGCTCACTGGTACACTGTTGTAGTACTATGGACCTCCCCTCTGCGGGGTCCCCCTCCTCATCCAGCTCCCAACACCACTACAAATAGTTATTTATAGTCTACCACAAATAGCTTAAGAATTAGAAAACTGAAAAATAAAGGAATGCATTCAGCCTGGGACCAAGCAACACGTTAAAGTTCTTTAAGCACATCAAAAAAGATTACTCACTTCTCTCATCATCCTCAAAGTCATATCTAGCATAGCTGTTAGGCTCTGCTGTTCTCAGTGATCTCAACCATGGGAAGTCAGTAATCATGGAGTAAGGGGCGCCATCCACAATGCCTAGAAGACAGGATGAGGATACAAAGCGAACAATGTCACTTCTGCAGCATCAGCACTCTTCACCAAGTAAATGTCACTGATATCGCAAAGACTGGTCACTCTAATACAGGAAAAGCACCTCCTCACTTCAATTCCCCGACTGTGCCGAAGGTCCTCCACTTCCCTCACAAGAATTATTATTCATGCCTCTTGTAACTTGATGCAAAGTTACTTATCTTAGCAAAAGACTGATCATCAGCTTTCAGCTCTCTATAAACACTCACCTTCTAGAGTGTAAATATCTCGTCCCCAAGGGTACTTAGTGTATTTCTTCAGGTCTTCATCAGTTCGTGTAGCTTCAGGGAAGAACTCATATTTAATAAGCTCTCTAGAGATACAAAAGATGAGATTACAGCCGGTAGTGATAGGAAATGTGAAGGCAGGAGGGACAAAAACCAAATGGGAAATCCTACTACACAACCTTTCTTTTAATGAGCCTGAATCCATAGAAACACTCCTCCAAGACCCTCACACAAACTCAGTATGCAATCCCTTCGCTTTTGAGAGTGACCACAGAGAATATGTACAGTTTAGATTAGTAACCAATTAAGCCACCTTTTAAGCATAGCTTTTTATCTGTAAGGAACAATCTAACATAGCTGCAACTAAACAAAACTTCCAAAAGTAAATTTGCTCTCTCAGTCATTTTAGTGAAAAACCAGAGTAACAAAACCACTGGTTTAAACCAGTTGGATGAGAGCCACTGTATGCAATTCCCTGCTACTGGGAATTTTTGCTCCTCAGTTAGGGCTTGAGATTGATTGCACATCATCTTCCCCAGAAACTAACATTATTTCTTGGAGTAAATCAGTCTTTCTCTTTCTTAATAAGAGAAACTTGTTTTCAGATTCAAAGATATTCCTCAGCCATCCTGACTACTTCAATATTCAATTACATTACTGCTGGATGGAAGAGAACTAGAGAATTCTACAATATTTTTCATATGTTTAGGTTTATTTAATCGATGTTTTGTATGAGATACCTCTTGACATTGAAATTCTACATTGCACCATCTAGAAATCAACCTTCGCTAGTCAACAAGCCATTTTTGGTTTAATTTGGCTAACAGAATGCAGTAAGTCTACAGCCTCACTGAAGCTGTAGCTGCTGAATCAGGATTGAATACCTTTTCTGTAAAGTTACTGAAGGGCAAGTACTCACTGGTTGATATTTGCTATTGTGTCCATCCAGCTCCGAATGCGCACCTTATTGCGGACATTAGGTGGGTTACTGAATTCATGAATTATGCAAATGTGGTACGGATAAGGGCCACTAAATATCTTTTGCTCAAGAGTCAACGTGTCAACCTGTGAAAGGCAGCAAACAAAGACTTGTAACCAAGAGAAACAAATAGATGTGACTTTAGAGTCAAGAGCAGACATCTACCAAAGCCCCCAAATTCTGGGGGGGATTTTCACTGTCCAGTGAAAAGAAATTTTAACAGCATACATAATCAAACACATGATTAAGCAGAGCAAAACTTTCCTAGTGCAGCTTTGCCAATGAACCTTCTCGAATAGTGGAATTTGATGGGAAATGTCTATTTTCTGACATGTCTCGCAACTCCAATATGTAAGTAAACTTCCATAAAATTACGTAATGGTCTAAACTACATTCACCTTCTCAGAATTTGTCTCTGCCTTGGGGAGAGGGGTTGGGGTTTCTTTCTGTTTGGTGTGTCGTGTCCCCCCCCCCCCCCCCCGCCAATAGTCTTACCACTGTCCTCTAAGAGCTAAAGCAAGAGATCTGGTTTCAAAGAAAAGCCCACTTTTATATCAAATCAGCCTTCCCTCATTGGTCAGGCAAACCAAGTGAGAAAAAGCACTACTTTGCATGAGAGAAGCAGCATCACACTGTAGTACAGAATGCTCTGTTTAGAGTGATAAAGTCAAAAAACCATTTCAGACCTTAAATTAAGCTCTCTTATTTACTTGTCAAATGACCTCAACAACTCACTAAATGTCAGTGCTTACATCTCCTACATGTAATCTGGGGGAGGAAAGGGTGGCTCCCAGTACCACAACTGTCTTGCAACACTGTTAGCATCAAAAGAGGATGCAGCTTTCAGCAAAGTAGTATTCAAAACACTTAACTGCTGTTACTAAATCTAATAGGACATGGATTAAAGATTTCAGATACCTATACCATGCTTCTGCTTATACATAACTACAAGCTGACAGTAGCATCTAGGTTCTTAGAGTTACTTTTAGTTATTCAGTTTGGAATTAATTCAGTGCATCGTGATTTTTTACAGTGTCTTCTAACGCAATGAGTATCGGAGATGGTAACATTCGGTCTTAAAATTCAGTGTCATCCAAGTTCCAGATTCTGCAATAAAAGCCTTGATGGGATAAAGTTTTAAATAAACAAGTTCCTCAGAGTTGTGTTATTGCAACATTTACGTTTCTTGAGTAAACCAGAATTGAAAACCACATGAAGCCAAGAGGGGTGAAAGAATACAGGCAGAACTTCAGATCGGTTCATGATTAAATGAAAGTTGGTTGTGTACCTGCTGCATTGGACGAAGATAAATGATCCGGTTTCTCTCTGGCGGCATCCTGAGAATCTGATCCAGAACCTGATCCATGTTTAACTTCTTGCACTGGGCGTAATCAAACCGGTTGACAACTGGTGCATTTTCTACTTTTAAGTGTTTCAATACACGGCACCTTGTAGCTATAAATCAGCAAACAAAATATTGAAAGAAAAGAAAAGAAAAGGACTGTAAGACTGAAAAGACCCTAGGAGCCTCCTGTCAGAGACTGTCAAAGCTGACTGTTACAAAAGAAGACAAACAAGTAATGTAAGTAACAGACAATTACCAAAGTAGTTTGGATAGCTGGCAACTTAAATGTATCAAAGAAACAGACTAATTGTTCATTTCTTCCACATTATGATCAAACTTTTAATTTGTGAACTTGTAAGAAGAGTCCTTTTAAAAGGCCATGTCACATTTAACCTAACAATAACCTTTTTTTCCCCTTTGTTTCCTTTCACAAAGCCTCCTGAAATGGTCTGTGGACTGCCACAACTGAAAACCACTGACTTCAAAATCCAGATGCAGAGTATTGTGAAGCCACAAAATGTAAAATAAAGCTATTTCCTTTCTAGTAACCGTGTTCATGTAATCAGAATTTAGTTAGAAATTAATGTATGTTCTGAGAAGTATTCTGGAATAAATAAATAATTTCTTCATTCTCCGCTAAGCAGAGATACCTCATTTCAGATGAAAATGTGTTATTTAGTGTAGATGTTGCAGAAAACAATAAATGACCCAACACTTCAATACAGTACTAGTCACACACCCTGGCATGTTGAATCTAATGCAGCTTAAGTGTCATAATTTAAAACAGATTTTTATCATGTCAAGGAGGAAAGTATCATCATGTCAGCTAAGTAATCTATGGAAGCAGGAAGAAATGAGAGAAAAAACAAGGTACTCTGAAAATCATTTCATCGACTTCCAATTATTGTATTAGCACTCTTCAATAAACATCTCATCTTCCTAACTGTCATATAATTTCATCTGTTGATTTTCAGATATTAATCTTTATTAAACCTGTTATAAGGAAAGAGGCATTCAAATTGAGAGCAGTAATATTTGGTGTTCTAAGTATCAGTCTGACTTGTAGCGAAGCAGCTGATGAATACAAAATAAGGAGTGGACTGACTTTAATTCTTTCAGAAATTTTGAATAATGCCAGATAGAGGAGGTATGCATGACATTAACTACATACCATGTATGAACATCATTTTGGGGCAGTCTTTCAGTACCAAATCTGTTATTCCACAATTGGTCAAGGTGATTCCAACAAGGTTTTTGGATTTCAAAGTCAGTACCTGGTGAAAATTTTTAAAAAAAGAAATAAGATGACAATAACAAAGAAAAAAAACTAAAATAAACTGAATTTTAAAAGACACTGCCAGATACAGAAGGATATTAACTGGATACTAATCAATATAATACAGCTTGTGTTCACAACAGGTATTTGAGACAACCAGGCTACTGATGCCAATGAGAAAAGACGACTTTCTGCTGATCAACAACATCACAAAAAACCAAAAGAACAACTTTACAAGATTAAAAGAGGAGTCACATCAGAAGGCACAATTTCTATCAGAAAACCTAAGTATCATCTTGGGAACTTCAAACCCTCTACTATTCAATTTCTGGTTTTCAACCACGATGACAAAAATGGCAATTCTGGACAGTAACTCTTGTTTAAACACAGAAAGAAGGTATGGCAGAGAATCATGATTTGAACTTCCCATACCAATGTATTTTACCAGCGCTATCTCAGAGGAAAACCTCACATGGAGGGTTGAAAGTTATAAACATAACTTATCTAATCCTCTATGTCCATTATCAGTGTTAGAAAAATAAAGCACGCATCAAGCTCAAGAAAGACATAAGCAGAATCATTTCCAATAGCATGAGCACAGGGAGAATGTAATAAAAATCAGATCTTTTCGTTCTTTTACCTGAATTTTTAGAAGTTTTATCACTAAAAATTCTAGCAAAATTCAGCATCCCAAGGATAAAGCTGACCAATTATACAAAGACGACTAAATAGAGTTCTACTAAAACAAAGTAAACACATGTAAAGAGAAAAAAGAAGCATTCTGCAATGGGTTCTTTCAGTTCCAGCAATTTAAGCTGTTCTTTGTAACCACAGATAGTTAAAAAAAATTTAAAGATCACAATATTGTTCTTTCAAAATGGCATATTTTAAGAAGAAAAATCATGCACCCAAAAATATCTTTTATGCTAATCACAAAAGCTGTAATGCATCCTAATAACCAGAAAAATATTATGAGACACATTCACAAAAGCTATCTTAAATTAGTGAGGCTAAGTTCTTCACTGGACAGAGAGAGGAAAATAAATGCAGGCAGGTTCCTCTACAGCAGAACTCAGAAGAGAAGCTGAAGACAGCTGTTCAGAGTCACCCCCTAGAGCAATCTCATGCTCGGCTAGAATATAAGCCTTTGGTAAACAGCCCCAGTACAGTAAGCCAGACCTTGCAATTTCTCCTTCCATGACAGATCTTCACTGCAGAAGAACTAATTCATGTTATTTATATACTAAGAGAAGCTCCAGCCTACAAAGTAACAGCTGAGTTGTTGTGTCCAGAGGTAATTACATATCCCACGTTTCTTTTAACAGCAGTAGCCTGTGCTGTCGTTTCAAAAATAAATGCCAGAGAATAATTTTTTTCTGTGCACATCAAGAAGGACACTGTGGGAAGGCAGGACTTCATGGAGCACTATAGCCATGAGCATCAGACAAACTTCAAGTTTAGCTTTAGCTTATACTTTGCTCTTCTCAGGCCAGTCTGAGTATCACTGCACCTGACACAGCAATTTCCTGTATATGGTTAAGACCAAAGTGAGCAGCAACATCAGTTATAACTCATCTGGCTCTACACAGAAGACAAGCTTGTATAATTCCATCATTGTTCATGAGCATCTACAGCTGATAAACCTGTAGCAGGTGAGCAAAAAGACCTTACTTGAACATGATCATCTTCAATAACTGGGTCACTTGTACTTGTGGACTTGTCAGCCGTCCTTTTCCGCTTTGTGGTTTGCCGTGGCTTTGGCTTGGCCACCTCTGGAAACAGAAAAACAGAAAAATCTTTCCTCTGTTTACATTTCAGGAGAACAACAGAGGCATTCCCTAGCTGAAAACGTCCAGTAAGGACATACATATCTTACATAAGCAGATCAAAATACCTGTCTGGCTTGAAAACAACTATGTATCTTTCCCTTGCACAAAACCAACTTTCCGGTTTGTTGTTCAGAAACGTTCATACTAAATAACTTGGGCGAGGTGGGTGGGCTGTTCATAGATGAAAACACAGGAATGTTGAACCTGCAAGTTCAACATGACAGAAAGATGCAGAGCCAAGAAAAGAACAGAAGATGAATTGTCAGGTTACACTTGGTTCTGTGCAGCAAACAGAATGTTCTTGACAAATACAAGAATCAAAATAGCTTTCATGTTTTAAATACTAGAAATAATCTCCAACTACTTGAAAGTCTGCTCTTTGTAACTGTCACTAAGTTTTTCCTAATATTGCAAAGGAAGCACAGGTATAAAATACTTTGATGTTTGCACGCTGCTTCTTACTCCATTTCATGCACCAGTGACATCAAATTCCTGCTTGATCTAAAAGATGAGGTTTTGAAAAGAAATGATGATAGATGACCACCCTTACCTCCTACAGTAAGAGAAAAAAATGCCCTAGAATTAGTTTTCTGTGATTAATAGATCAAAATGAGAAATTATTTTACTAAAATTAAGCTTCCTTTGACTTTTTTGTTAAAACATATGGCATGTTCACAAAGATTCACAATCAAGATAGAAGTACAAAATATTAAGAGACTAAATACAAACTACTCCATGCTATACTACCATTAACATTAAAAAAAATCTCTTTTCCTACATAACATCATCAAATTCCACTAATACATGTAAACTATTAATTAACATGTGACATTCAGTGGGCCTATGAGCTCCAGAATTCAGGCTACTGCTTTAGGGGTCCATAGGTTGAAAGATGTAATATTAAAGTACTCAACTTACGGCACCCATGAATCATCATCCCCAGGGAACTTTTTGGATAGTTCCTACAGTAACTACAGATAGTGAAATACTTCCTAGATATATTATAGGAAAAATTTTGCAATTTTGTGTTGAATTGTTCAAGGTACAGCCCAAGGCCAAGAAATCTTTACAGAAGGTTTAACATAACATGCATTTTTAAAACGTGTGTCCTGGTTTCAGCTGGGATAGAGTTAATTTTCTT